AAGTATAATTTCATGCGATAAGGGGTTAAGACGAATCTCTCGAATGTGAAACTTGCCAATTTGTTGTATTTTGAACTTTGTGACTTTCGGAGTGACTTAGGTCAGGTTAGGGTTCTCGGGCCTGGTCATAACAACCGTCATCGGACCCAAACTTTGCTTTGGCTAACTTGCGCAGACTACGTGCGTGACCTTCTTCGCACTTCAAATACGTATCAACCTTCCTTATTTTGTCCTTGTCTAAATACATTTGTACTATCGATGCTGTTGCAGATCCCATTACACAAGGTGGGCCACGAAACATGACCAACTTAGATTATTCTACCAACTAGCTATTCAATCGAAAATTTGTTTGGCTATTGTAACAAGATTCAAGGACAGCTTTCGCATGATTGTACCAAATTTTTTGTCAATCCCTTTTTTTCAGTTATCAAGATCACCTTCAATTTTTTACAAAAAAACCTATTATTTTTTACACCCATCTATTAGCGGATACTAAGACGAATTCGGCAAGCATCATACCAAATAATTTTTCTTCTAAACTAACGAAATATTAAGGAAATATTACTTACCTTAAGTAAAACGATGTTCAAAATGGTGTCCATCAGCTACACATACACTCGCGTAAACGGTTAAGAAACGATTGCTTAGTTCTATTTATAACGTCTGCACGGATGGTTAAGCATAAAAAAAATTTTCAATTGAACAACTGGCACTAAAACAATCTAACCTGATCAAGTTTCGTGGTCCACCCTGTATACGGAATATCACTTCACTAGCAATCAGTAAGTGCAACGATTTGATTTGACTAAAAATTTTGATAACGAATATCGACAAGTCCACGATCTGTAGTATTCTCTCGAACAGTTCCGTTATAAATATCTACAGTAAATCGAATGTACTTTTATTGGTCTCGTTGCTCACGCGCAAAAATAGCAATTTGTGATCGAATATTGTTCGATAACATTCACGACCAGAACAGGTTTCAACGAGCGAAAGAAACATTCCCGACCGAGGGAAGTTCATCTATATTCGTGTCGCGGTCGAAATTCAGTTCCACGAAAACGTGATACCCGATTTCTTACCGTACTGTCACGCGTAATTATCCTGCCGGTCGTAAACTCGCAACATATCCCTCGTTCACACCTATGAATCACGAATAACCGGAAGAGGCACTGGTGTGTACGTGTGTACGAACCGGGAGAAATACGATCGAGTCCGGTTTCTCGAATTATCATCCGTAGAAGCCTCGTTTCACGCAACAATTCGTGTTTTATTGCGGTGTATCTAATTATCACGACGCCTCGCTTTCATCCAGAGAAACACGATCCCTCGTAATTACGATGTCTGTTAATTGTGCGTGTAGAAAAAGAAATGAAATGAAACAAACCATAAAATCGTGTTCTGTTCGTCCTAAAAGTATTCTCATTTAACCCTCGTGTTCATGAGCAATTCGATCGGAATAGTTTTCGATGTTTTTCCGTTTGGCATTACAAAAACATGTATAAGTTTTAAAGGAACAATTTATGCATGTTACTGTATCTAATAAAGTACGACAGTTTAGTAATATAATATCGATTATAGCTAAACTACGTGATAATTACTTGACTAGCCTCCAAAACAATATTTAACAAAACGAAAAACTTTTTTTGTATGACTTACCACAAGTCTCGCCTATTCTTGACTAGATGTCCAGTCCCCAAGAGTAATCACCAAACTGACAGCAGTAATTCGTAAAATAAATAACTGGCGAAAACTAGAAACGGCTTAACACTTTGGTATTAATAACCACAAAACTAATAGCAACAACTTGCAATTGAAATAACCGAGCAAAAATTGTATCGCACAACCGCGGTATTACTTCACCAAGCACTTACGAATAATCACAAGGATATTTAATAATTAGGAAAAAAGATATAAACAATTCGTAAAAAGAAATTGCACGCGCAACCGGAGCACTACTGTGAACACATCCGCTTGTATTACACACACACACAAAACTGGCTAACCTCACATCTTCAAAAATGACCGAAAGCATCAAAAGACACTCGACACCCAGAACCACAGTCGACAAAAACTCGAGACAGATTACGATCCCCGATCGGTCGGTAAGCCAGGTTTCTTTCGATCGACCGCGCTGTCACGTCGAAATTAATGAATGCGCGGACAGCTCCGGTTTTCACAGTGTTCGTAAACGGAGGGTCCCGGAACCATGAACGGTCGGCGTTATAAAACACGGGAAGACAAGTGGCGAGAAACACGGTGTGACAAGCAAAGGAAATAATTAATGGGTCGTTTTCATCATCGAACTCGGGAGCTCCCCTCTAATATCCTCCAGCACTGACAGAACTGTCCCGCGAGGAGACGTCTTGTCCTGTTTATCGGCGCATAGGATCGCCCGGCTACCCACTAGCAGCGAATTTATTGGCCCCCGGGAAAGTCGTCTTATGCAACGAGTCACAGGAAGGCTTTTTCTAAACCGGAGCGTACTTTATTATCCGAATGATTCGCTTTATGACCGATAAACCACGTCTTGTACTGTCACTTTGCTTTCCGAGACGTGCACTGGGTCTGTTCAGAAAACCGCCAGTCAACGATACGACAGATTATCATTGGTAGCGCTCTTTGACGGTTGAAAAATTTTCAATATGTCGGCGATAGTTATTTTGAATTGGTAAAGGAGGATTGGGACGTAATACAGTGCTTGTTGAATGGGATTGCTTTTACTATCGCGAATCTCTTCACCTATAATTGGCACCTTCCTTTTCCGGGTGTATACGTGTCCCGTTCACCTAACTAACTGATCCGCCGGCCAACGTGACGTAGTTTTGAAAAAATTATCATTGGTGGCGCTCTCTGTTTGAGGGTCGAAGAATTTACAAAAATGGCGGCAGTGTTTAATTATTTCGAATAGTAGAGAAAATTGATTGGGTTGTAATATTGCATTGCTGAATGTTTCTTTCATTACTTTGGTGTATATATGTACAGGATGTTTATTGTAACAATTTTGTATGCATAACTCTCTTCTTTTCAGTCAATAATAAATAAAAGTATTTCAGATTTCTAGAATATTCTTGTATTTTATTAGAAACAGAAGGTCTACCGCTATCTTTCTTATGGAACGTATTTATTACTCTAGGTGTTGCAGGGAAGTTATTTTTCGTAATCTACCAGAACGAAAAACTATACGAAACTCATAATATTAAAGTTCCATTGAGTAGTGGAATGTAAAAAAAAACACAAACAGAAAACATTTTCCATAGCTGTTCTTCCATGACAATGTATCGTTCGGTACATTCTAATTTACAAGTATTATAAAAAATACCGTTATTATTCCTTGTCATTCCAGTCTTCGCAAGTCCCGGATGTGTCCAAGATGGCGTCGATCCTCCAGACAGAAACTCCTAACTGGTTCCCCGTTGGTATTTACCCGTCCGGCGAGTAATAATTTCCACGCTAATTCCAAGAGACATAATAAAAAAAAGAAGCAACAAGAAGAAATACTTCAAGCAATCCTCGGTTCCGTCTTCAGATTGGATAACGTAGAATCTTCGAACGGCATTTTTCCGATTTGACTTTTTCCGTTAGGTGTGCAAAGAGACGCGAGGAGGGACATTGAAGAGAATTCAAGAGCAATGAAAAAGGAGGACGGATAATCGGTCGCAATTGAAGCGTAGAGAACTAGACCGTTCGTTTCATCCAACACACGGTTCGTTTCTCTTGGACACTCCGGCGCACCGGCGATATTTATAAAGCAAACTTCACGGTGCAAAGACCTCGGCGAGGCAAGTGTTGCGGCAGCCAAGTCGCCCGTAAGTTTAGGCCAAGCCCTTAACTCCTTCGGCACATCGTGCGGTTTTCATAATAAACCACTTCCAGGCGTTCCTTGATCCTCATTATTTTTACGGGAGGGCCGCCGGGTGGCCACTGACGTTTGTCGTGATTTCCAGACGGCTTTCGACTAGAACGACACCAACTGGCATTATCAGTCTCCTCGCATTTAATTGTTCTGCGAAAATACTACTATGTGACGAACTAAGTCATTGCGTCTTTTTCTCTTCTCCCTGGTATACTTGTCACGACGATTAAGAATACACGAAGATGACTCCTTTTCTATTGATGATATATGGGCGATCTTTTTTCCGTCAAGCGTTCGATCATTCGTGCCAATTGTTGGTGATAAACTTCTGAATTAACGGTCTGGGTTAGATTGGTTGCGAAAGTTCATAATGAATGATTCCCTTCGTATTCCACCAAACACAAAACATGAACTTCTTTTGATGCAATTCCATTTTTGGGATTGATTCAAGTGCTTCCCATGGTTGGCACCATTTCCTTTATTTTAGATGTTATTGCCATAAAACACCTACTTTTCCGGCGCGGACCCGCGTTTGGGACAATAATCGCGAAACCCCTGTAGCATTTTTTAACGTTGTCTCTTTAGGTAAATTGCATTTTATCGAAAATACGTTTAAATGGTCGAAAAAAGTGTAAAACAATTGCGACCTTAATTCTAATTTCAAATTTAATTATTCTATATTCAAGTCCACCCACCACGCGTGCATTAAATGTGCATACGTATATAAAATGCAAATCCTTTATTGTAAAAAGTTGTTAACAGCGTAGATTCGAGTGAGGAAAATACACAAGAAAGTCCGTATTCGTTATACGTATGAAACTTCCCCTTATATTGCATGTATTAGAACAATACTTTGTACTAACGTCAATCATTTATTCTGCTGTATAAATTAACCAGATCGTGGATGTTTATGAGCTTCGAAAAAATTCAATTCACGTATTCGAAATTATGCTCGATTCGAAGTCACCGGTATAAATTATATTTTTACAATTGTATCATTATCGATTTTGTAGCATTAAGAAGATGCTGTTAAAGGTATTTAAAAAACTGATCGAATCTATAAAACAGCCACCGGTTTCAATTATTAATCACAAAACGTGAAACAGAATCGTATCACCTGGGCAGGTCCATCGATATTGGCGAACCGTTTGCATTCGCGATCCACGTAACGAGTGGGTAAGAAAATGCAATTGTCCTCCGTTTAACGTGACGAAGAAAAAAAACAAACGAAAGAAAAAGAAAAACATGAAACTGTGCAACGTTTTTCACAACGAGACCGTTCGACGGGTGGTGCAATAATTACGGCTGCTCGGCGATCTCTTTATAACGCCGCTGGGTCTTTCGCCATAACGCTTGCTTCTTTTCCGTCGTCGAATCTAGTTCGATCGTTGGAAATTCACGACTCGCCCCGAGACCGGTTTTGCTTGGATTGTTCGTCATGAGCACCTGTAACAAAAAGAAAAAGCACATTTGTTAGATTCAACAGGCTCATTTCTCGATTTAAATCGAACTTCGTTTGCTTTATCTGTTTATACGATCCATGGTGGTTTGGTTAAGATTATTTTTTATCCTTTCGTTGCCACTGTAGTCATATGACTACGTATTGAAAATTACGAAAGGAAATCCGCTACTATGAGTAGAAATTGCAGCAACAAGCAAACAGTACAGTTCCAGTCAAAGGAAAGTTAAAAATTCATTTTTTTTATAGTGTTTTTTTTTAATGGAAACACAGGAATATCCCGTAGATTGTTGAAGTATATGAAAACAGTGTTCTGACAAAAATTGTTTGGTATGGAGTAAGACATTAGATGGTATGAATCATTTTTTTGAACTTAAAGAGAGGAGATTTCAAGGTCAAATTAATTCTTTTTTAATGGAACATTATACATCTTCATTCATAATACGATAGCGTTTGTTAAAACGAATGCAACGATGTGCAAGATAAGATAATTCAATGTAGTAGCAAATCATAAAATTAGTAAGATTCCAAGGGGTCAAGTCAACGGGAATCGCGGCTCGTCGGCTATCCGAGCCCAACGATAGCCTGAATAAAGTGATCGAATCGAAAATACTCGCAAGTTCAAAGCGTCGAAACGGTCTTTGATATCTCTTTGAAGTTACCATATATACATATATCACGTAGGCAAACACTATCTTTACTTTACGAGCAATAATAATATTTTCAATAGCGTGAATCCCCTTTCCCGTCTCTCCCATTTTCGCGTGATACTATTTTCAACGTACCAAAGTGACTTCATTTTTACGAATTATTCTTTATAATATTCTGAACTCTACTGTAAAGTAATAATAAGTTAAGTGGAATGCACAGATCTGAGCAGACACGGACTTTGTCGTAAGTTAAATGGAATCCACAAATCTTTGAAATTGATCGATGTACCCGCACCAACAAACTCGGCTTCCGCTAGGGGAAAAAGTGGCGCAAGGGAAAGTCTTCGGTTGTTAACGCTCCGTTGAATTACACAAGCAAAATTATTGTCACGTGAAAACGTACCTTTAAAAAAGTCGCGCGACTTAAGGAGAATGTACACTTTTACGCTTCTGACGTGCAACGCCGATGATTCATCCATTCGATTCGTCCAAAGTAGAGACTAGCTGTAGGTATATACTTTGTTCACTGATCACTCTGGATGTTCACGTCGAATGAAATGCAAACAGAAACAATCTTTGCACTTTCAATGCAGATGAATCATCCACATTGCATATCCAAACTATACAGTCTAAATTCACCTTAAGCAAACGACCCAACAAGAACAATTACTAATAAAACTCCGTGCATAAACATAATTCCCGTATCTCGTTCTATTTCCATATTCTTTGCATGCAACCGTTCGGCTCGCCCCGCAGGATCATCTCTGGCAGGAGAAGACCTCGAACAAGTTTCCCCAGGAAAACAACCGTCCTCTCGTCCGGATCAAGAGGTCAATCCTATTTAAACGAGTCGTCTGTTCGCCCAATTGTATTGTTTGTCCCTTGGTCGATTCTCGGTATCGTCGACCAAAATGAATAAGAAAAATATATTCCTCTGAACGTAAAGGGTGGGGGAGTGCTCTTATCGAGAGAGGGGTTATTTCAAGTTTTGAGTCGCATCCACTGGGCAGAGTACTCGTATTTGGGCCAAGTGGCCTCCCCCCGTCTGGCTTGTAAATGAGGCCCTATCCGTACCGTCGCCTCGACACTTGACTTACTTGGCTGAAAGGGAAAAAGACGAAAAACGAACGAATGGAAAGAGCGTAAAAAAAGAGGGGGACTGGGGAGGGGGGTATAACGAGAAGAAAGGATTCACCCGGTCCGTCACGGCGAGAACACGAAAAACAAGCGACCCGATGTCTAGCTAGAGATAGAGAATGTCTAGCTATAGAACTCGACCGGGCTTTAACCCGTGGACGACGCGAAAAATGAAAAATCGCAAGATAAAATTGCATTCGGGTAGATTTCGAGGGAAAATTTTATCGTACGAATTTCCGTTTTCATTTCGAGAATAGTGGATTCCTTCTGATATTACACGACGGTTTCGGTTGCGTTACGACGATCTTATATCAAACCTTTTTTTTTTTTTTGCTTTTTTTGTACGCTGATATACTCGATGAAATTAATGTCGGGTATAAAGATATTAAATCGACCGTGAACGCGTTTTACACGGAATCGTATTTGTCCGGAATAATTTATGAAACTGTAAATTAAACAGCAACTTTTACGTTTTATTGGATGACGAACAGTATAGCGACTCTATTATGAGCTGTTAAAGTCTTGTTTTTTATTGTGTTCAACGCGCTATTAACCTCCTTTCTTGCGATTTTTTGCGACGACTCCACGCTGCAGAATTAGTTTATCGTTAATGATTTCCCAGACACAAAAGGAGCTCTATTCTTGTGGCCAGTGTGCCATTCACTCTAGATTTTAAATGTTAGTACCAGCGAAATGCTAATTCACTTTGACTTGGGTCTGAGTCGATATTGGAAAGCAAGAATTTTTGTTTAGAATGCATAGAAAGGACAAAAAAGACGAAAATAAATGGTAACAAAGTTTTTCCAATGACTTTCGCCATTCTATATTAGTGATTTTATCCTTTTGATATCTTGATACGTGATGTTTTGTGATTCTTATTGTTATTATTTATTAAATAAACGGGAGAAGACCCATTATTGTATATAATACATAATTATGTTATTATTTAAAAAATTAAATAGTTTCTTAAAAATCGTATCTGCTCTTCAGCATAAAAATAGAAGGTATTTCGTGTAAATGTTGAAAATTTCTCGATAATACTATTTCAGTGAACAAAATTCAGACCATGTTGGTCACTTCAGGAAAACCAAATTGCATGCAACACGAAAACTTAAAAATCATGGGTAAAAAAGTTCATTTCACATTGATCGTGTTCTTGAGACAACTTTTAATAACGAATCGATGGCTTTTGTTGTCCGAAGGGTTATGAAAATCACTTATCATTATGGGTCGAAGCAAATGAAAAACATTAAAAAAAAAAAATCAGCACCAATTATAAAAATCGCAGATGTTAGTTTTATCTAATATTACTTGTCGGGAGTGAAGAAATTTCTCCCGACTTATAGAACGTCAAGCACCCCCCGGGAGGATCTTGAGATCTTGCTTTATGCCGTGTTCCTTTCGCCCGGCTGTTTTTTTTTCTTTTACGCCGCGAAAGAACCCCTTTCGAAATTTCTAAGTGGCCGTTGAATGCAACACCGCGAATAGTTTTGCAGGCCTTAATTCAGCCAAGTGTTCTTGCTTTCGACTACGTTGAATTCGTCGCGACCGCAGAAATGGCGGATTAAGGAAACAGCCAAGGTAAGTCACGATGAAACACGATATAATTAACGTGCTACCTCGAAAATTAATCTGAAACACCTGTGTTCGCCATAGTAGTAAGACGCGATAAAACGCGATATAATTAACGTGCTAGTTTGAAAATTAATTTGAAACACGTGTATTCACCATAGTAGTAAGTAGAAACGGAATGCAATGAACAGACGCGCTAGCCCAGTCCTATTCAATTGCCCCCGAATCTAGCTGATTTTCAAAGTCAATTTTCTCGGAAACTAAGCCTTAAATAGAAAAATTTGATTACATATTTTGTTCTTATTTTTTCATAAAGAATTACCTCGTACCCGTTTGTAGATGTTATTCGGCTGCGGTCCTGCTTTAGATTATTATACCATAATTCGTCTATGTATCCTATTCAATTTAAAGTCCTTATGTATGGGGTGAATCGGATCACAATTTTTCTTCTACAAATGTGATAATTATTTATATACAGATAGTTCGAAAGTACATGAAAAAGACCAATCAAGGTTCATAGTGTCCAGAAAAAATGAAAGAAGATTGGATAGAGTACAGTGGTCTGCAAAGAGTGGTGTCACGAGAATTGTGCTAATAAAGGTGGTGTTAAAGGACACTATACTTGCGTCCTATGTGCCAAGTAGGGTCAATTGACCCCATTATCATTACATTATATTTTTTTAAATTAATTTAAAAACCTTATTTATGAAAATTCGAATTTTTTCAGAGATTTCTGGATTATTCGATTCGCCCCAGAAGTTGGGGATATTTCTTACTTTTCGTTTTTTGTTTGCAAAAGAAAGATTTAAAAATTTGTTAATGTTTTTTATTATTAATGTTCAAGTTAAATGTGTACTAATTACGAATTTATAATACATAATTAACTTTCTAAACTTTACCTGTTACTTCTTTACTATCAAACAAAAAATGATCCGATTCACCTCGGTCTACCCTATGGGATCTGACAGTACACACAAGAACCCTCTGTCGAAGACCGTGTACAGCTTTGCCCATGAAGTTGTTCAAGCCAAGCTCCTCGCCGAACGAAGGAGACGAAAAACGTCGACGTGGAATCGACGAAACGGAGTCAGAAGGAACGTTCGTGGAGGAAAGACGAGAACGGATCATTATCGTGCGACAGACGCGTTATCGTGCGCGTAAAATGACCGCTCATTACACGATTGACCAGCCCGCGAGACGTTCAGGAGCAAAACGGCCCGACTCGAGTTTCGCTTTCTCGCTCGACGATGACGGCGATGATGCATCCGTCTGGGCTGTCTAGACCACTTATATATATTATAACTGGCGCTCGCTTGTCTGTTCTCTCTCCTTTCTCTCTCTCTCTCTCTCTATTTATCTCTATTTCTCTTCCCATTCTCGACGGGGCGGACCTTGGCAAGAGCACATTTTACCCGATTTATGTCACGCAAATGATTAATCTCCTAGACGGAACAATGGAATTAGTTGCCTCGAATGGAATCACTAGGATTCACGTGCGCGTGAAACGTCCTTGTGTAACGTCGAGTTTCAATTTTCTCGACGGAGTAACGCGACCAGGGACATTGTTCACACGTTTGCACGGAAAAGGAGAAAGGATCTTTTGCGACTTGTCTGGATTTTTGTTTGGG